ACTCCCCCCCACCCCACGGCAGCCTTGCCCACTTCTCTCCAGACACCCTCCGGGTGGCGGGCACAGGGCAGTCCCTGAAAAATTGTGGGGAGGGAGGGAAACCCAGCCGAGCAGCGTCGGGCATCCCGTGCGGGACCCCGTGGTGACCCCCTTGCCTTTCCTTGGTGCCCCACAGCGGTGCAGCACGAGCGGGGCCCCCGGACGTCGACGATACGGAAGCAGGTGGCCCTCTACTTCCGTGGGCACAAGGAGGAGAGCGGCGGTGCCCCGCACTTCCCCGCCGCCGCCCTGCCGGCGCCCGCCTTCTTCACCGCTGTCTCCCAGCTGGAGCCCCACGGCCTGGAGCTGGCCGCTGTCGCCGGCACCCCTGAGAGGCAGGCTCTGGTGGGCCTGGCACAGCCCACCCCAAAGGTCAGCCATGGCTCCAGCCCCCAGCGGGCCTGCAGACCTTGCTGCCAGGGTGCCTGCAGCCTGCCATTCCTGCCTCTGGGATAGATGGGGCAAAGGGTTGGGGGTGTGTGTGTCTTTTTTTACATCCCTAAAAGCTCTGAAGATAGGAGTTGCAAGGGGTAAGAGGCCCTCTGCAGAAGGGTTATGCAGAAGGACCAACTGATAACCTGCTCCATGCAAACCCTGTCTCTCTTATATCCTTACACCTTCATGGTTACAGAGGTGCTCCTCCTGCCTGGAGCCCATCCAGTTTTAAGCCTTATTTCATGAGGGTGAGCTGCAGTCACTGCGTTTTCTTCAGCAAAATGCCCATCTCCATAGTGGTGTATCCAGAAGGTGCTACCTGTACTGACCAAAGCCTGTGGCTTGTCCGCACATAGACAAAAGTGTCTAAGCTGGCTCTGCACTTCTTGGCTGTGACATTTCCTAAGCATCCCAGAGAAAGTACTGCCACAGCCACAACTGCACAGGAATTAGTCATAAGGTGATGTTTTTCATTAACCCATTTGCAATGGCATTTTTCATATTTACAGCACCTAGAAAAACACAGAAGAGACAACTTAAATAGTTCTGCATTTTCAGAGTTGGCAGCTTGGCAGAATCCATCGTGAACATGATTGTAACATACAGTTTTATATTATAATTTTGCAAAATACTGAATCAGAAATTATTTCACAAGAAAACATAGCATATGCTTGAAAAAGTAACTCCATTCCAATCCTACACGCCCCTTACGTAGCTAAACTTAGCTCTACGCATCTGCTTACAGCCTGTTGCAGCAAGGGAGCTAGACGAAGGGTTAAGGCTAAATGAGTGCTTCCTGCTTTGCTGAGCAAGGCTGGAGTGCTAAATCAGCTTCTGAAGCACAGGTTACAAACCACAAATTCTTAATCAAATTTGTATTCTTCTCACTCTGCTACCAGAGGTGTGCTGTTGTGTAACAGGGTGAAGGATGACACTGCATTTTGGTAATTTCCACCCTTCCCCCCCCCACCACCCTGATGTAATAATTTCATTCTCCCTTCATTCTCTGGAGAACCATTTCTGTAATACAGTTCATCCACATGGATAAGCAGCAAAG